GCACCAGCATCGGTCGACTTTGCGGGCGAGCGAGGGCGGTGGGTGTTCGGGTCGGTATGTTGAAGGGTGATAGAGCGCTATAAAGGTACTTTTTTGGAAAAGGCGCCAGCTCGTACTCAGAGGCGCTGAATTCCGCGCTGCTAGGCGTACTAGTCCTGCAGGTCTCAAGGATTTATCTTGCCACTTGTCTTACAGCACCAATTAATACGAGCTCGTGTATTCCGAACATTTCCGCTGTTGGCCGCTGAAGAGGAGGTCGTACTTGCCTTTGTGTAAAATATTTGCCATTTGTTGAGTTTAGTTGGTGTTTCCGTTTCACGTGTAATATCTACGCGCACACCCCATCTCCTTCCCCCGCTCGAGCTCAGTTTTCTTTGGGGAGGACAATTCCGGAAATGTGGTAGGGAGTGCTAGGTGGGAAGGAGAATTGGAAGGGATGTCGTTCCAGAGGAAGGAGTCAGGCGGTAGTATTTTGCGAGATTTTCTCCAACAACAGGACCTGCCTTGGCACCGTAGTACAGCTCCACACATTTTCTCTATTTTGTGGGTGAGCAGAGACTGCCCTAGTTCTGTGTTGACTCTCATGTACTAAAGCCCGCCCGCAATGTGAGGTGACTAGGCGCGTCCCGATGTTGTCGTTGCACTGCGGGGACCAGCGTATTGTTTTGATCACACCGCGTTGTTACGATGCAGTGCGATTGAAGTTTATTGCCTTCACGATCGCACGCTTACTGGCGATGTGCTTCGAATACGTCATGAAACGTGGGCGCTAGTCCCCTTTCCCCTTCTGCCCCTTTCCTAATAATCAGGCCAGTTGTATACCGAATTTTCTCCCCGGGGGAGGTTCGGCTGAAAATTTGTCTGTGGTAGTTTCAGCTCCTGGACAAGAATGTCATATTCGCAGACAAATTTTCAAGCAAATCCTGGGAAAAAATTTTCGCTAATGCTGCGTTCATACTTTGCGTCAGTGAACGCCAGCGTACAGCATCGTATTCGCGGGCAGTTTGCTCAAATTGCTCACGAAAACGGTCACGTATGTTGACGTACGCAGGCGTTCGCTAGACTATTATGCACACTTTCCTAGTCGTTGGCTCTGGCATGGGCTCGAAACGCTAGCGTACCTGGCGTACGCTGTCGCAGAGTATGAATACAGCCCAAAAGCTGGACTGATTCCTAAAGACTGGGGTGGTCAATAGTGCTGAAACGAAAAGAATGTCAGGGATCATGGAGGTAGTTTCGATTGCTTCCTCTTATCAGTCACCTGTCATTCAATTCAGTGTTGTGGGTTTTTTTCTGGAATGGCCTAGGCCTTCTATCATTGGTCTTGCTTGATAAGGAGACCTTTACTATTAGTGGCACTAAGGTTCCGTGAAAGTTGTTGGAGAAATGAGGGCGCACTGTGACCCAAAAGTTCGATTTCCTTCTTCGATGTGCCTTGCTTATACACTTGGTTCGGAAGTTTGAAATTACAACGAGCTCATGAATGTGATATAACTTATGAAATTACTCGCGAGGCCCTCCTATGTACGAGTCCGCGTTTTTATACTCCCAAGGAAGTCTGTTACGGATTTCGTTGATGAGAAGGGAGGACCCAGGTAGGATCCAATCTGAGATTAGACCGTCGCGTAAGTGGTAACTCCTGCGAAAATATCACCTGTTCAGTGCTTCAAGAAGTTTCCAAGGAGTACTGTATATAATTTGCGAAGTCTTTGTCGGTTGTCTATGCGGAAGTTCAGTTCCACTTAAAAAGCAACTCGGAGCGGTCGTGGCTGGAATGAATAGGGCACAGGACAAGATTCACAGAGCACACAAGCAAAGTCCCCTCCCCCCCTTCCTAGAGTAGGCCGGACAAGTGCCGAAAGTGTGCAGTGTCGCAGATGACACTTCATAATTCGGTTGCAGAACAGTCCAGAAATAGGGAAAAACGGGCTAAGTTCACCAAGGGGGTTTACAGCTCGAAGAGCTTGCTCCAGCTTCAGAAGACGTCAAAGGTTTCACCAGAATAAGACTTGTAAACCGGAACTAGTGAATCAGCAAAAGTACAAACTGGCACCCCCCTGTCGCCGTACTGTGCCGATTTGCGCTTCAGTGACTGAAAAAAATGGCGAATTTCGGGGATATGGTGTAGATCCAAGGAATGCTGACGCGTCCCGTCTAGTCATGTAATATGTTGAGGTACTATTTTCCTTCTTTTCAACTCCGTACCGCGCAGAATGTACATCGCATTGATAGGAGATGTTGCCTAATAATGGTTTTCTATTGCAGTGAAGTATCTAGTTGAACATGGAGCCGATATCGAAGTTGCTAATCAGCATGGCCATACTTCGCTTATGATAGCCGCGTATCGCCAGAAAGTGAGTTTGACAAGGCCTTCTCGTTGCATAATACATATTGAACACCTCAATTGTTGATTTTAGGCTGAAGTGGTCAAATACCTTATAAGTTGCGGTGCTGATGTCAACCGGAGCAGTAAAAAAGGTGCGTTGTGGAAAAAGTTTGGTTTAGTGTTCAGAGTTAGGCT